CAAATCGTACGCACACAAGGCTCGAGTTTTCATCGAAATTTGTGGAGTTCATTATCAGCTCTCTGTTTCGGATAAACGCTGTTTCCTGGGCCGAAATTGGGCTCGTCACTGGATTAACAGCGGTAAAAGGACAGGACAGGCGCGGTAAAAGGACAGGACAGCAGGGGTAGAAGGAATGACAGCAGCCGCGGTAAGAGGAAGGTGGGCTCGTCACTGGATTAACAGCGGCAAAAGGACAGGACAGGCGAGGTAAAAGGACAGGACAGCAGGGGTAAAAGGAATGACAGCAGCTGTGGTAAAAGGAAGGTGGGCTCGTCACTGAATTAACAGCGGTAAAAGGACAGGACAGGCGCGGTAAAAGGACAGGACAGCAGGCAGCAGGGGTAAAAGGAATGACAGCAGCCGTGGTAAAAGGAATGACAGCAGCCGTGGTAAAAGGAAGGATACCTGCGGGGGTAGAACGCCGATAACAGTGGTGAAAGGAAGAACATCAGCAGCGGGAAAAAAAGAACGAAGCCAGCGACGGTAAAAATGGAGAAAAGCGGTAAAAGGACAGCGGCAGCGGTAAAAGATAGGACATCAGCAGCGGTAAAAGGAAGGAACCCAGCGACGGTAAATGGCCACAAGCGGTAAAAGGACAGCCGCAGAGGTAAGAGCAAGGACAGCTGCAGCGGTAAAAGGAAGAAACCTATCGACGGTAAATGGACACAAGCGGTAAAAGGACAGCAGCAGAGGTAAAAGCAAGGACACCTGCGTCGAGATGAAAAGAGCGCAAGCAAAAGATTTGTGGAGATGAGATCAGCGTGCTGGAGATAAAGCCGTGTTGTGATAGCCACATGGGGGCATAATTGCAACGTCATCCGTACCAGCCCACATGGGGGCATAATTGCAACTTCATCCGTACCAGCCTCCAAGTGTGTACATGACAGCTCGCAGATCTGCTAAGCTGCTAGCTTTTGGTAATCCCTGCAGCTGGATTGCTTTGTCTATAGCGGTTAGCCACTACACAGCCGAGAGAGTCGAAGAGCAGCGAATATACAGAGCACCACCCCTCGAATAGAGCCAACTGAACCTAGATGCCATCTTTTGTGACGGCTAGTTTTGCTGCACGCCGTTGATCGGAAGGTCGTCTCCGTCGGCCAAGCCATAATTGGGAGAGAGAGAGAGAGAGAGAGAGAGAGAGAGAG